TGCAACAACCGCACGGTTCAAATCATTTTAACAGGGTTACAGCTGTGTCCTCCGCTAGAACGATATCTGCTCGCGAATCGTCTTCCATTTCGGTCCAACAAGGACATAAGGTTGACGGAACCTTGGGCTCTGTACCTACCTGATGAGCCCGAACAATAAAGAAACCGGTTGTGCGCTGTCGAAGATTCTCAGAAAAATCATGAGTAATGTATTCGTTCACCTCCCGTGGATACACGATCGGGACCAGTAGATAAAACGAATCACATCACCAGGCGGAACTTTGTCCAGGATTCACCTGGTGGGATCATACGTGTGTCCGAAGAAAAGAATACATAGTGGACGATTGTTCACAAGCGAGTGCAATTAGTTCTGGTGGATGTGACAAACCGCTGGTAGTAAGTAACACGGAAATCCGCGGCTGATGTTATTACTTGTCAACCGCAGTGAACAATGGGATTTCGACTGACACTCAGGTAGCAGTTGAATTTGTGGTGACTCTCGCAGGCTGTGAAGGCACAAATTCATGTCGTAAACAGCGCCATCGAACTTATTCTTCAGCTACTCTGAAAACCTTATACAAGTAGGACGATTAACAAATGTATGCCCGCATAAAGGCACGTCTGGCCCCCTCCCACTCTTCATCAACTTTAATTACGCGAGCGCCTGTCAGGCGTCCCAGTAGACGCGCTGAAATGGAACATTATAACGAGTGATTTGCTTTGTCACTGGGAATATGACGGTTACTCAGTTCCAGTTTACAATCACTTGCTTGCGTCAGATCGACCAATGGACCTTATTAGGCCAACTGATTGATGCTTATATATTCCCTTAATCAGCAGGTCATTGGCGGTGACGATTGTGTTCGACAGTTTATATTATTCTGAACAACTCTGACGCATGGGCTACCTTGTCGTGACTATTCAAACCTGCAAAATCCTGTACTTATTTCGCATTCACATAATTCTATCTACCGGGAAAAGAGAGCTTAATTTTTGGTGAACAGATTGTGGACGAGTAAACGATGGAAAACAAAGATCATATCCATAGCAAAACTATCACAACTTCAATAGATGGTTTCCGATTGACCAAGCAGAGATTTTGGTGGAAAGTTCGTGTTCATCCGTGTGAAGATACTTGGGTTACTTTTAGGAATTGACGAAAATATTGGGAATATTTTTCTGCAAATGAGACAGGTTACGCTCCAATGGCATTGTAACCATTTAATGAAAGGATTGAAAAAACCGTCTTGGGAATGTGCAGGCCGCTGCGTTTTTTTTTGCACACATTCCGGCCACCTAAATGCTTAGCTTCAAAAAGGGTGAGCCGGTCGTGGGCCGTCGAAGGGCTTTAAGCAAATTCAAGGATAATGTGCTCCTTCAATAAAATAACTACCCAACACTTTCCTATTCACAAAACCATGTTCAAAGTGATTTGCTTGGATCTCACGAAGCTATGCACCACTTGCGACCACTTGCAATCCGGTTCACATGTGTAAGTTCATCTTTCTTTGCGTGAACCGTAAGATATTTTCTTTTATGCATGTTCCGTATTAAGATGGAAATAGTTGAGCAGTTCGGGACAGCTGTGAAGTCAGCCGTCTGAATTCAACATTTTATACCAGAAAACTGTTTGTTGAAATGTCAAAATAAATCACACGTTGCCGTTTTTTGGACCGAATGCATCTGAAACATCCCGAAGGGTGTCCATTTTTGAATAGTGCGTAATGGTTATATTATTATCTTGCTATTACAAGCAGTGTTCGATCTCATAACAACCTTCACCAGACTTCGAATGCCGATTGCGCCGCCTATCAATAAAACCACGGGCGACGATACAGTACACTGGACTGGATCGTTTTTATTCTTGCTATTTGATAGATTAACAACTTTCCTCCATCCGAGAGATTGGTCGACAAGCCGAATGTTTTCCGTTCTTGGGTGAAGTCGCCATTGTTATTCGGATGTGATTCCTCGTACAACCAGCTGTTTACATAGTCAGCTAATCGTTTGGAAACGTTTTATCCAAATAGCGTCGGATCCCAAACACACCCATATTATAAACGTCAGGTACAATTTCAAGCCGACGGCACCTTGTTTGTGAGATCATCCTTGTCGATTGATGAGCACTGAGACAGAACAATCTCACTATTCAACAGAAGCTAGAGGAATCCTCAAACAGGTAAACATCTGATTAGATAACTACGCATACCAGCGGTGCAACCTGGTGGAATTAAGTGTCCTTGAGGGTAAAGGTGTTAGTGAAATGTCCGTGGGTTAGATCCACTATCGACCACCTAATAAGTCCCAATAAGGACGAAAGAAACGGTGTCCCTAAGATCTGCCGGACTTGCTAACATCTTTGATGCAATTCAACCGCCTTCCATTAATTCAGGTTTTGTAGCGAATCGAAACTAATGGCAGCATTCATTATCATCATCAGTAGTAACGGCCCGCTTACAGGTCCAACTGTGGCTTTATCTACCACAATTTCGTCCAACAACGCCGTGAAAGATGCGAGTGCACAGCCACACATTGGAGGCAGTACCTGATATTGACGGAGATTCCGTCCAGTGCTGAAAAGCCAAGAAACTTTGTGTCTGAGAATCCAGAATCTCCTCCACTAGTACAGATGAACGGTTAATTCAAGTAAAGTGATGGACGTTCCTTGAGATCTGCAGGTGGAGCAGTCCATTGGGTACGCGTCAGAATCGCGCTTATCAGTGTGCCTGATCCAGAGAGACGTGAGTTTGCTCCTGATGTCTTTCACTCTAATTTGCTGAGCAATGATTTGTCATTGATCACTGATAAAAAATCAGCAGTGTGACAGACGTTTCTCAATGCATGACATTTCTTCCGCTTCTGGAGGAGTATATTTTCTAATATTTTTTCGTAACTCCATCGTTCCTTGCATGCTACATAGCCTACACACGGAACATGACTGCAATTTCCTTTTTTGGCGAACTAACTGGAACTTTTGTGCTTGCCAGATGACGCGAGCAATCTGGGCGTTTTCCACATTATTCTCCGGAAACGGAGACGCGAAAAAAACACATTAGCAACTACGCTAACAATGCTAGCAACCTGAAAACAGTGCCTTAATGGCTGATCTTTTTGGAGAATAAGCTTTTGCCACACGACCATTTGTGATGAAGATCAGGGATGACTTTGTGTCTCATATATATCCGTCAATGATCGAGCTTACAGTGCTGAGGTGCGCTCCATATTATTATACGGATCGGAAACCTGGCTGCTGCGCGCCGAGGACGTCAAAAGAATGTCAGTGTTTGACCATCGATGTCTTTGGAGGATTGCCCGAATCTGGTGGGAACACCGGATTGGCAATGCTGAAGTACGTCGAATGGTATTCGGGAGAAATAACTCACCCTCGATAGGTGAACTGATCACACTGCACAGGTTGCGCTGGCTTGGCCACGTGCTGCGTATGCCAGTCGACAGACTTCCTCGAAGGGCTCTTTTCACCCAACCATGTGAAGGGTGGAAGAGAGCCAGAGGCGGTCAAACAATGACTTGGCAGCGAAGTATGAAAGCCATTACCAGCAAACTCAGCTACACTGGTCACTGCCGTATTCCTGGATGGGGACCCCGAGACGGGCCAGATCAATGGCTAGAGACATTATCAGACATGTCCCAGTCACGCCCTCAATGGCGCTCATGCATCAAAGCTATTGCCTTCAATGCATAGCTCCTTTTCCACCCACCCCACCCGCCGCTTGACAACCCACTGACAGTACTGGATTTATGCACCAATTTACCAGCTCGCGCGTGTGATGCGCAGCTACCTAACCCCCCCCCCATTCATCGGTGAACGAGACTGTGGCAGCTACAACCAGTGTACGACGAGTACGCTGTTCTTACAGCTGACAATGATGATGATGATCATCATCATATATATATCTGCTGAATGACCCTGAACCAAGTACCGAATTTCTGAGATATTTCATGTCTCCTGGAGCTCGTATGAAATATAATTTCTTCGCAAGAAGCAATAGAAAAGGGACACCGCTCGGAACAAAGACTGATCCTTCTTCACAAATAGCTTATTGATAAGGTGAGACATTCCAAGACATTCTATGTGGTCTCGGTATCATTCCGCTAATTGAAGGTGGAACTGTATACAACTTCGTACTCTTCTACATCCGGATTATCCTGACTGGCTTTGTCAGGACAGATTGTCAACTCACGTAACAATACGATCAAGTGGGATTGACCTAAAATGAATTTTTGAGCAACGGAGTATATTTGCGCGGAGAGTTGCGACCAGAATAATTCACATATATAATACCTGCCCTATATTAAGTGTTTCAATTCTGAACCACTCAGCAAAAGGAGGGCCCTGGTTCGCGCAGGTGCTGAGATCGTAAAAACCAGGAAGGGTTAAACCCCACCAAGACCTCTGGGGCCAAATGCGACTGAGCTTATTTATATCGGGTACTTAATGTGGTTCGGATCAGCAATTCAATTCCCGTACAATGAAACAAGACATGTGGAAGCAAATGACACCACATGGACGTGATAAACCCATTAATCGAAAAATATAACTTTCTGTACTGCTTACGAGAAATCATAACCAAGCCTAGGAGTTCTACCACACAGAGGTTCGCTGGCTGCTGGCAGTACCCAGCTGGCCAACGAGAACCTATATCTGTAAACCTGGTGATTAAATAACAGATCTCCAACGTATTCATAAATAGTAAAGGAAGTGCTCTGAAGGGATCAGTATAATGATGCACAAAACCACATGGTCTCATCGCTTCATGAACTGTATGGGCTACCTCTCCCCAGATATCCTCCTACACATCCTAATTAACTTCCCGTCAACACTTTTAGTTATGTCTGTTTTCCACTTTGGCTAACTCAAAGGGATGCGGGTTTCAGGTTGAATTCTACAATTGCACGACAATACCTTACAGGCCTGTTTCTTTGTGCGGCGGAGCGAGGTCAGAAAATAAATAAGCTTTTGCGAAAATCGATATCTCTTACTTGAGTTGCTGAATCTGTCTTGTTCGTCCAGCCGTGATCAGCAGCTTCCGTAATCGCATCGAGTTCAGCAATCGCTTCTGTTTCATCTTCATCCGTGTCAAAGATTTCCGCATTGCGTTCCTCCCCAGAGGGGTGTCGCTTCTGACTTTGTACTGATTCGGTTACGGTAGAGGGAGAACCAACAAATGCAAACAGTTGTAAAAAGAACGGACCCACCGAACAACATGCTAAAATGTCATTTGAATGTAACCAGCCGACGACTACTTTACCTTAAGCGACATCCCAAAGTTAGGATAATCATGCTTAGGCACGGTCCGAACACCAACGCGCGATACGAATTCCACGATGGAAGGCCTAGCTGAGCTGGGTTCCAGTGCGGATTAATCGCACTGTTGATCAGCCGCTGGTGGTCGAATGGTTTGATATACCCGTAGGCTGCGAGTCTGAGTCTCTCTGAAACTCCCTAAGATGAACTGTTGATGATTTTTAATAAGAATGAAACAGTCAGAGTGCCTCTTGGCTTTTGGGCACAGACTAAATTCACTTGCAAGATTAAGTCCTGATTGAAAGGTCGCGAATGTTGCTTGCGCGAACACATTCCTTGGACCAAACTTTGGTCGTAGTTAAGGTCGGTCAGATCACCAACATTCAAGTTACATTCAAGTTACAGAACATGCCCCTCCCTCTTCTCTTCAGATAGGATTCGAAATGCTGGGACGTCCCTCAACTACCTGGACTGTCTAGTTCACTGTTTCATAGTACCTTATTACATCCATCCAATCGGAGCTCATGTGTGTGTGTGTGGGTGGAATGCAAAGTACTATGTTCCCTCTTTGCGAAATTCTCCGGAAATTACTGAATCGTGGACTAACATCCTGCCTACGAACAATTGAAGAATGGATACAGAATACGGTACGGCAATATTGAGCGTACCGTGATTAGCTGCTGACTTTGTGAGCCATTCTAAAGGTCTAAGGAATGCACTTCGCGATAAAATTTCACATCCATCCTGTTATTAAAGTGAGTATTTGTTTCAATCTTAAAATAATGGAACTCGCCAGGTAAGTAAACAAAGTGGAGGTGCATCTGTTGGTATATTTTAACTTCCGAAAAGCTTCGAAAGATACGCAATCAAGGTAAAATCCGTTAACTGATCACGACGTGAGGTGTTGCGTGGGCTTTGAAAACAAAGGAAGGCATCGCGACTCATAAAACCACATGACAGCTCATGTAACAGAAAAAAACGTAGAACAAATAAGTTACCGTAAGTGGTGATAACGAAGCAATGGTTATCAAAGAAACTGAAACGACCACAATAGAAAATAAATTTTAGATACCGTGACACATTTCATACTTCCAATAATTTCACTTCAGAAATGGCATGACTGTAAACTTGGTTCGTAAACAGTTCAATTAAGGTCAGGTGCGTACTTGGTTGTGTTAGTGACAAGAGATAAACCAAAGTCCGTCGCTCCGCCATTCGTCTTTTGTTCACAGGACTTTTCGAAGTGTTTGATGCTACTTATTTTGTTACGTGAATTTGCGAACTGTATTTGCGGTCTCACGCTGTATGAACGTAATTTATAAAAAAAAGAGTTTCCAATCTCTTTTATTGACTAGTGTTCTCTATGTGTTACCTGGATGTTACCTTTGATGTCCACTTTGGAAGAATTCGTGTGATTTCGCTTGTAAGATCAACTTCGATTATCTAAGAACCCATGAAAGCTGAAGTTGGTGCCATTCTCATCATGCATTCCCCAAGTCAGCGCATTCAGACATACTACAAACATAAATTATTGACAATACAGCAGACCTAACAGATTGATATTTCGTCCTGAAACACAAGAAAGCTTTGATTCTGTATGGTTCTTACAGTCTATTTGGACATAAGATTTCACACGAAACCGTTTTTCTATGCATGATCATTTTACACACAAACCTCCAACACAATATAAACATCGTTTGTATAGATAAAACAGATGATTTGTGATACTTGTTCAGTAAAGTGAAATATCCTTCTGTGATCAGCTGTTCGCGACTGTGTGAAGCACTTGAGTCTATTATTGTATTCCGAAGTAACTCAGATCAGCGTATTTGAATATTCCCTGGGCTCCGTTGAGATAAGAATTCTGATCATGCAAATCCACTTTCCACACGACTGAGCTGACTATCTACAGAAATTACGTGGATGATACCTGTGTATTACAGAGCGATGCCAATTTGTGCCTGATAGTACAGTAAAAAACGCGCTCCTTTTGTAATTCAAAGCTATTCTGATAGGGGCTTCTCAACCCATTTGTAGAATAAATATGAAATTTCATGACTAAATATGCTTGGAATTAAATCGACTAGAAAGGAGGTAACTTTCGAAACGTGTGCTCTAGTTAGCCTAGCGGTTAGGGCGCAGAATTACAAACCGGAAGGTCCGTAGTTCGAACCCAACCTCGGCATCTCGACCACTCTTACCTAGACCTAAGTAACCTTGCAGTATTTCAGCCTTCATGCATCCTCCTGGTGGTACGGCGACTGGACATTGAGAAAGTGGTGCAAATGAACAAGTACATTTATTTATATTGGGAATGTGGAATTGAGCAGTGAACTTAGAGAGGTGTCCAAATTTTTTGGCGGGAAGTGTGAACAGGATTTATGGAAATTTAAAGCAAATCATTGAACTTCTTCGTAATATTATCGACATATGCAGTAATTCGGCATACTAGTACTGGCGGCATTACATCAGCAATAGTAGGCAGTGCTCGAATATTAGATAGAAGAGAACTTATCGGACGAGGTAAGAAGTAGCGGTGAAGAAAGACCGAAGGGATCGACAATCGCAGGGCGTCCTGTTTCACGCGACAAGTACGTCGTCTAGGCTGACGTCAGAAACGTGGTTCTGTGGGCGTCAGTATACTGCCACAATTTTACAAACCGGACAGGGAGAGAACTAGAATCCCTCGAATGATATTGTGAGCAATAGATTACTACTGCTATCACAGTAGCGACAGTTTTAAGTTCTGAGTAGGTATACATGATTCAGCTTCAGCTTATTGATCAGGAAACTGTGTTAATTTCGCCCATTTCTTCTCAACCAAGAGTTGGAACCCAAGAATGGTTTAAATGTCTAGATCATCGTAAGTGCTGCTTACGAATTAAAGAACAGCCTCTTGTATCAACGGCACGAACACTGAATGCGAAACTTGATTCGCTGAAATCTGATACCACTTGTCAATTATTCTCCAAGTTTCATCAATGCTTTTATGTTTGAATGGATCTCTGACATCATCGGAACTAAAAAGCTAATCTCCAGCTGACAGTATCAGCAAAGCTGGTGTCGTTGCACTGCATTATTTTGGTTCAAATACATACTACATAAAACCCTTCAATAAGGGCATCACTCGACGAGGGATAAAATTTTGGCGGATTCAGTGCAATTTACTGAAAGCGCTCACACCATTCAGTCTCGCAAATGATATTATGAGACATTAGTCAACAAAGACTATTTTTTATCGGAGTATGCTGATAACTAAATTGCTTAATTATGCTGGCCTTCGTTAATTTGGTGAAGAATGGTCTTATTAGACATCATTTCATTAAAAATGAGGATAAGACATTGTATCAGTTCAGTGGAAGTCGGTAACGCGTCGCATTTGTTTTCTAGAGTGAAGAATGCACCATCACTTTTATTCGCTCGAGTATTTCATGTTACCCATTGACTACCAAACTTCTGACTGAAGTGTTTCGTTTGAATAATGACTTCGAGTCTTGATAACTGCGGTTTGGCTGAATGAAAGCTTAATTGAGGCTGTTGCACCTTAGAACATTGGACAAGGCTTAGGCAAATGGTGATCGGTTAACGTTGCCTCGATTGTCGAGTGCCTAGCGGTTCAAATCATGACGCACAAGGTAGACGATGACGGTGATCGGATAGTCCAAAACATCTGCAGTAAACCATCAAGTCAGTCATCTGATCATTTAAACACGATCCACAGTGCGTGGTGACGTGTTATCTGTCCGTTTGATTAGGATGAGATGCAAGCCGAATCCAAAAAGGCACCACACGGTGCTGCGCTAATCAGATCATACGTCTGAATTCGACGCCGTACAATCTGAGTGGTGAACGAAACTGCACATATTAAATGATTTTAAAATGATTTGTGCCCTGTGGGACGCTGAATGCCCATAAATTACGAGAACGGAAATAACAAAGTTTCATGTGTAGGAAAGTTGTCAAGCGAACAAGAAACCAAACTAACGACGAATTCCATTGAGCAACGAAGTAACCGAAGGACAGGTGACGGAAAGGCTTGGAGTCATCGATCAAATGGCTATTACAAATAAGAATGGCTGTAATGCAAAAGGTACAAGATCGCCGTGGATGTCGTCCTCCTGAAAATGGTTAATGTCAAAGGTCAAATTCCTAAATGGGAACCGGCAGTACGCTTCAGAAGGACCACCGAGTCTCAGAAATTCCGGGAATAGAAATTCTGATTCATGGTGTTCCAGCAATAAGCAGTATAACGTTTCAAAGCCAGGAGTTTCAGGTAATTCGGACAAAGGTTTGAAGAACTGATTAAAAGCGTAAAAAATCAAATATCTATGATATCATCAGAGAATTAGGGTCCATGGTCACTGCTTCGCACACGTCACGGTTTCATCAAACTCTATTGAGGTTTTTTTCGTCTTTGGGGTTTTCAATGTGTGCTTTCTGTTAGTTTTCAGTCGCGCTGGAATAGTCATCCTCGGTGCGCCTTTCTCATTGAACTCAATGATCTTCCCTATGCAATCAATCAAATCCCGATGTTCATTGTAAACTGTCGAATAACGTATCCTATACTAGATGTGCCTTGAAAGAACCGAATGCTTAACTGTTACACGAAAACCTACATGTGAGCAAGGTAAATCAGTTAAAATCGACCGGGATTAAACGCTTTTACTCCTGAGCGCCAAGTTTAGTAACAATGCTGTGTGCCAGTCAAGGCAGCACGTGTCCCGTACCACGGCAATAATTGAGAGACAGCAGAGGTGATTTTGACAAACGTATTATGTTGAAACATGCCGTGCTAAATTGGTAGTGACAGCTGACTCCGTTTATGGATTTGGGCACTGCTGGCGTAAACTGAGCATTGTGCAGCAGTTATAGCTGTTGAACTGATGGAAACAGAAGAATTGAGCTATTATTAGAGTGCAAAGGTCCAGCTGTGAGTACAAGCCTAGATGAAATAATATTGGAGAGGTCATCATCATCATCGTCATCAACAACAGCATGACAACAGTGTTCAACACCTATGCTTCACTGCCGTACAACCATGACTTATTTGAAAGCCTTATTGTAAAGAAAAGAATAAAGGTGGATGGGGAAGGGACTTAGCGCTGGCTTACGACAATCATTCCCAGGTGCCCACACCTCCAGACATTCACCCAGGCAATCTGGATAGAAACTGACAACAAGAACGCCACTGACATCGGTTGGCAGCCATATCCTGTAGTGTCTCCAATCAGGCACAGTGAGGATCACGCGGTCCCCATCCTGGAAGGCGAGTAGCACCGACAGCGCCCAAGCGTTTCGTGATCTCCTTCATACTCCCCTGCCAAGTCAAGGGTTGGCCACCTCTCTGTTTACGCCACTCCGAATTGGGCAGGAAAACAGTACTCTTCGGCAAACGATGGTTCATGTTACGCAATATTTGTCCCAACCAACGCAGCTTCTGGTGCTGGACACATTCTTCAATGGAAGTACCCGTTACACAACCGAAAACGCGCTTTCTAACTGCTTCGTTACGTCATTTTGTTGTGGCTGTCTTGTTTGTGCGCTTTGCGGGAATTTTAGAAAGTTAAAGTTTACCTGCCCTTAGTTGCAAATACATCATCTTTACAGAGTTAGCTTGCTAATTCATTACTTAAAAACAGGATGGGCGCACCAGTTAGGCGTAAGAGAAGATAGTTTCATCCATTGGGTACTGACAGTTCAATAATAGTCATTCAGGTCTATCGTATGTGAAGTTGACGGATAGGTTATCAGGATTCCTGGCTTAGATAAGAGCTAGTGGTTTGCTTGAAGAAGGTACGCCATTCCTTGCTGACACTATCGGAGTGTACTTTTGGTGATCCTACGTGGTACACATAAGCAGTTGCATGCGAGCGTAATTACGGTTAAATCACCACAATTGTTTATGTAATCGTGGTGCAAGCAATCCCAGTGTAGAATACTTCAGTATAGATCCCTAGATTTAATAGGGTTGGTCGAAGTTTATTTCAAGTTGACATTGTTTTGGACACTGAAAACCAGAACCCTAAGGCAAGCACGTCGGCCGATGCATCTTGGTAGTGGAATATATATTGGAACCCTATCAAAATAAAAAAAACTTCCTTCTGCACGAAGACAAATGCTTTATTCTTCCGTGAATGCGTTCTTCTAGTTTCATAATTATTCGCAATGCAACGTTTTTCAGTTACTCGTTTACAGTAAACGATACAAAACTAGAAACATTTTCAGGAGAAATAGTGTGCAAACATTACAGCAGATTCTAACTTGAATCTATTTTCAATAGACTGTTTGACTACGTCTCCCACTTTTCTGCACTTTTGGGTGGAATAAACGTACCCTTGGCACATGGCCCACAGCTGAGAGACTGAGCTGAAAACGAGTGTTCACATGACAAGCTACGATTAATGCGAAATTCAACGATCATTACGGACGAGTGACTGCGATGCGTGCAAATGGCATTAACCGCACATTAGAAATGTACTGTCACAGTGAAGTGTCGCTCACTTTCAGTGGCGTCATCAGACCACATAAAAATACCAAATATCTGGTTTAGTTGCGAAATTTACCAGGACACGCTTACGTCGTACAACACAGAAACAATTAAACGGGCTTTGTGTGTGTGCGTCAACCAGTTCAGCCCCAAAGATTGAATCCGATTCCCATTGCATCAAGATAAAGTCCAACAACACAAAAGCACCATAACCACAATTTAGCAGGGAGAGTAACATAGGTGGGAAATACAAGCCACAATTTAAACTCGGCAATACAACTCCGCTTCAGCGATAAGTTTGCCTGTAGTTCCAGTTGTGTTCAATACACGTTCAACGGGAGTTGTTCGGACGCGATGGCAATGAAGTAATCGGGCTTATTAATTGCACTGCAAGAAGAGACGCTATACCGAGTATGAAAAATGCAGAGAAAGCGCACTGCACTTGCTACGTGGACGAAGCAGATGGACGATAGAAAATCCGAAGACTATTCACCCTCAAACCACTGGCACGTTCTGCTTGGTCACTATTAGCATCTCAAAAATGTCTGTTTGTTTATACCGGAACTGATTGGTTCGGGCCGCTTCTTTGAAGTAGATCTAATTCCTCTTCTACAATGGTCAGTTCAAGGACAAGTTATCAACTTGGCCGATAATATCTTGCTTTTTGTTTTAAGCCGGTTCCCTTGAATTAGCCAGCTCGCTGAATGTCTTGATATGATAAAACAATTAATAATACAGGTTAAAAAAGCATACATATGATCTAAAAAGCGTCCGAAAGTAGTATCCAAGGAAAACATCCCCTGGTAGTTAAGCAGTACATCAGTATTAAGATCCAGATCGCGACTTACGCAGTTTATGTTGCCTGACTTTCGCCTGATGAGTATAACGTCTCCTGGGCAGTTCTTTGAACAAAGGTGCTAAAAGTTCAGATGGAACCTTTCGTGGTAGCGGAAGCACTTCAGCTAGATGCTGTTGGACAAAAGCGGCATCTTCAATGTTGTTCGGTAAGGTAGTCGCCGTCATATTGAGCAGGCTATCTGTTTGATCATTCGATGTCTCTTGAGAATGTGCTGGTCTGGTCAAGGCTAAGTTATCACTGCCGGACATGGAAGCAGCTCCTGCGAAATCTGTCCTTTCGCTAGATTCATCCTCGCCAATGACTTGCATAGCACGTCCTGGTGCCACAGCATCCTGTGTTAAAGCCACCATGCTGACACTATGTGAACCAGCAGACTGAATCTTATCCGCACAAAAGTTTTCAACCGGTTCCAGATGGGATTTACTAAAAATCCAACAAAAGATGAATGCAGCTTTCCATAAATATTTAAAGAGTAGTTTTCAGAATCAGCACTTTGTAGTATTGGGTAGGTATGTCTAACGTGATCAAAAGGAAAGGCACGCAACACAATCTAGTTCAGTCACTCAACTGAACCGAACACTGATTCCAGCCGTTATACTTTCGATAGGTCAGGGAAAGTGTCATCATCATCATCATCATCGACAGCATGACATCAGTGTTCAACACCGATGCTTCACTGCCGTACAGGGAAAGTGTGACGAGGCGTGGATGATATACCGCCATTAGTTAGTTAATTCTGAGCCACTATATTGGACTGATAAAGTGGAAAGCCGGTCATATACACACTAGGGATAGTATCGATGCAAGAGAACCATCGAATGCGTAAGTGAACAATCTGTGAGTAGCACTAACTACTGACGGGTCCCAGTGTCCCCGTTCGGGAAGGCCGGAGACGTCGAACCGACTGAGTTCATTGGTTAGGGCTTTCAAACTTCGTTGCCAAGTCATCGAAGGTTTGCCTCTCTGTCGTTTTCAGTCAGCATAAGACTGGGTTAATGAAGTCAACGGCGTTAATGGTCATCTGCCATGCGGGGTAAACGTCATCATCAGCGTGACTTGTGAAGCGTAGTTAGCTCGTTTATCGCAGATGAGTTCCACTTTCCTGAGGCCATCTGGCGTATCTGAGCACTGCTATTCAGGTATTTTCACCAGACCTAAACAATGGTCCAGAGACACCAAAGTGACAAACATCAAATGTCTTTGTATCATTTCCTCACAAAGAAGACAGGTTTTTGGACCACAAAACCGTATGGAATGCCCAAACGCAGTGTGTAAGATACCTCTGATATAAAAACTGTCGCATCGGTGCCTCGGGTGTCGAGAGTTGACAAAAGCTGTCAGGGATATCTCCCGGTCCGTCGGAAAGACGGTGATCTTGCCTGACATCACTAGCTGTGGCGAAATCAGGCACTAACGATACGATTCTGTGTAAGGGGATTTACTTGCTAATACAGACAGGCAATCTGATCACCACTTGGTAAACTTCAGGTTATTCATGTGAACTGGTGACTAGTAATGGTCAATAATCTGGCTTTACACAAGTAGTCGGATCTTTCATTAATTGATTAACCGGTAAGCCCAAAAACCTCGCACAACTGCAGAAGGCTAGTTCAGGGACGCACGGTGGTTGGGCCGACGGGTTGTAACTGCTAGCTGAAGGGACGCGTGAGTGATCCAATCTACGTCCACACAATGGGCACGAATAAGGTGTGAAAACGCCTCACGCAACTAAGTGTCGAGAGATCCGAGAACAACTTTTCAATACGGTTTGCACTACAATCCCCCGTTTAAGATGAGCATGAGTTTGTTAGACGATGAAGAGATGACTGCAGATAGCGAGATTAGTCCACAGAACAAAAGGGAGGGTAAACAGACCGTGTTCATTCATTCAACCACGCCTTACCCGATATCCAACGGTAACGTTGCAGCCAAAGTTGGACGCGCAAGGACTTCACGCCTGCAACGTCCCCTAGAATATCAAGAAAAAGACGAGAAAGCGCATCATCTGTTAGGTTCATATGAGAACGGTATTCGGGAGGAGTCAATTCAGTTTTAAACGGACGAACTATGTAAATGACACACTGGAATCACTTGAAAATGTAGTAACTTGATCAACATAGAGACTTACGCAAATGTGAATGTATGTTTTCGAGAAAACAGTCCACGTTTGGATTTGACTGGTTTTACTGAACTGGACTTTTCGAGGCTAAGGGGGAAAACAGGGAGGCAAAATTATTACGATGGGTCAAAATACCTAAACAATAATGAACCAGCGTTTACATCTGGAACAGTTACTGCGAAATACTTGAGAATGGTCTGATATGCAGTTGCACCTCTCTGCAGAGACAGTCCCCCAGAGGAGGTCATCTATGAAAAGGAGCCTCTTTGGGGCATTTGCTCAAAGACAAACACATGAATGAAAATACGAAATGAACGAAATGCAGAAATAGATCATGTTCATTTGATGCTGGCCATGCATACTGTTTTCAGGAAGGAGTAGTGTCCACATATGTTACTGAGAGATATCAAATTGAAGAGCCTGTACCAAGCCAGAATTGTTTGCATTGACATACAGGAGGAGGAACTATCCACTTATAAACCATACCTCTTTTATCTGAAGACAAAGACAATGAATAGCACCCAAAAATCTGGTGAATATGTTGGTAGGCGCTGCCCTATAGTAACGGACCACATGAGAAAGAATGTGAGAATTTAGAACAGTGTGTCTGTCCGCATCTGAAAAGCTGGTGGAGGCAAAACAAAGCCACTGAGTCTATTAAAAAGCTAAGGGAACACACCCTTCTCCACCTGAGGATAAGCTGTGCAGCGTGTTAAGAAAGTGCGCATAAGGGTTGAGAACATGCCCTATGGATAACCATAAATCAGAAGTACAGAGTTAACAAATCAAATCTTTGTGGATGACTAAATGTCTGTGTTAGGGATTGTTGTCACATACGCAATAGCAGTAGAAGGTTCGGAATAGAATAAAAAGAAAGATATAGTTACGCTCAATCGGCGACCCACTAGAGCATGAAAATTTCACCACGTTTTCTTATTAAAGCAACAAGGTTTATGATTAAACGTCTTGTGCACTAAAAGTTTAGTCACTTGGCGGTATTCCGTTCCGAATGTGGGTCGACCATGTTCCTGAGGATGGTGATGAAGATGATGACGATCATGAAGATGATTGCCTGAGGCGATCGAAATGTGTATCAACAGAATTTCTCACAAATACTCAGAAAAATAACGGTTTGAGAACGTTCCAGTGTACAAAATTGGATCACTCACGTCAAGAATAGTTGCCGATCAGTAGCCCATTCCCAAAGGGCGTGTGCCACTGCTTTCGTCTCGCACTTGAAGCTAACCATCTCAACTGCCTGTGGGAGAAAACCAGTGCATGTTCAGACAATTATGGCAAAGGAGATGCATGTAGGTAATGCGAGGGAGGGGAAGCCAACAGTGGTAGCAAACTAGGCAAAGATCACATCGCATACAGAAAGCGTCAATCGGAAGCAAAACGGTTAGCAAAAACTAAAAAAGCAACATCAAACAGAATCGGGCAGCATGGTTTAAAGAATGACTACAGTAATCGAAGATTGAGTAGACTCACGAAATAATGGGTGGAACTAAGTTACAGAGAGAAAAAAATCAATATCACTGATAAGTTCTGACGTATCGGTTGGGACAAGAAACGGACCAATTTGCCGAACACTTGATGGCTCTAGAAGCCATCTAATCTGATGCTTCGGTTCACCAGATAGTGAATTAATTTGCTCCACTCCCAAACTATTAGTCAGCCTGCTTATAGATCGAGAAAAAGTCCTGGAAGCTGGGTAATCTGAGAAGCCGTTGGGTTTTAGATAATTAAACTGAATAGCTTAAATTTCGGAAGATGCTAGCAACAACTGGCAGTGCAGAGCTCACAAATACTACACATTTGCAAAGTTCGCTTTTGAAGAAGACTCGAGTGGTGCATGATTCTTGTTTTGTAAGATGACGTGCTCGGTGGCTTGATGTAATGTTTCCTTCTGACTTGGGGGTATTTTTTAACAAAATGGGAGATATTTGTTCCTAATTCCACCTGTATATTGCAGCTCGACATCATCGAAACGTCATTACTGGGACCAATTAGAAATTACTTAAGCCTGTGAGAGACCCAGAGGGCTGCATATTGATTTGTTTTTACGATGAACTTTATGATGAGTGTATGATTTGTTTTGTGCTGCCCCGACTAGGATCTCATCTGAGCTGAGCAAGCAGTGCGGGAAACGCCTTCGTTCAACCAGTCAAAAAAACTACAATTGACCAAACTGCACAGATCCACATTTATCTAAACCGGTGATCACAGAGAGGTCGAACTAACCGCAGTTTGGTAAACCGTGAAAGTGAATTCGACCACTGACTAGCATTTACGCAGGTTAAAGTACGAAAGTAGCAAATAGTAGAACTTCCGCGACAACTTACTTAGTGTTTGCAGGCTGCGTGTGAATTTATGTCTTTGTATACCATGTGTTAATGGTCCGAAAGAACTGTAATGAAGTCACTTCAGATAGTCACCACAAAATGATGTTAATAAGCCCATTCAGTTTCGCCAATGCCACCATTCGTTTAGATCTATTCTAAAAAGCTCGATTCAAGTGCACAGTAGTGTGCCAATCACTGCTACAAAGGTGACAAACAGGATTGGCTTATTTAAAACTTATGAGCCTGAAACTTGGCCGGTTATTTCTACATTGTTTTTGTAAACAATTCAAGGCTAACGGATCCAGAAAGTACTGGAGGCCATTTCCACACGCTGACGCTTTCTCGAGATGATAAGGGTTGCAACAGACGCTTGATCTCATTGTTATGCACTCTACTCTGTGATGAATTTGGCAAAAGGAACTCGAGTGAAAGTCACCGGAATAGAGCGAGATATAAGGGGCAATCGCGTAAATGCGAAACACCGTAGTTCAAAATGCAGTAAACTCTTGAAAACAATGGCGAAAATGCCGAAATTTCTCAAGGTTATGATAGCATAAAAACAAGGATATTCCAGGAGGCTATTGCTATTGCATATCAGAGTACAACAGTAAGCCTAATCAGTATAATGTGTGTGAATGAGCACCAAAAATACGTCTCTGATACTGAAGGCTATAAAATCGCCATTGTTGGAGGTAAATTGATATACTGACTGGTGGTTATAGAGTAAAATAGGTAAATAGCTGATCAAAAATGATTGCAGATTCCGGTCATTTTAATTAGTATTGATCTTAGCAACGATAAATAAATGCGCATACTGATTGACATCGTCGTAAGAACATTTTGACATCTAACCTACGAGGAGTAATTGCAACTGACTCACATTCTGCGACACGCTTGATTGCAGTGCAACAGGATACTGCATCCAGGGTTACTCTCTATTGTCAGTAGTCTAGAAACTATATTGTCATTTGGTAATACATCGTTTGGTCACATAGATCCAGTGAACTTGTTAAGTGAATTAATTTACAATGAAATAACACTACCTTGGTAGATTCAGCGAGGTCTTAAAACCATTACTCCCTCGGAGGCCTACGGATGGAAGCAACGCATTCAGACAAATATCATGACTAGCAGACATTAAGATACGGCCTTTCAATGATAGCTTTCGGTTGTCTGCTTATCGTGGAGAATCAGAGACTGAACTTGGCTGCAGAACCCATGCGAGATGTACTTCTGCCAATTTCTCTGGAGGATGCGAGGTTCTTCTTTATAGGATTGCAGTTGCCGCATAAGAGCGAGATTTTCAGTTTTCTCCGTTCTTATGCTACACCGCGTTATGAAACTGAGCTGAACATATCGGGTAGTCACAATGGAAAACATGTGATGCCACCAGGGGACTGCAATCCATCTTGAGCCAAATTCCACAACGAATTCAACAAGCTTTTACAAATTCAATCCATCGCAGGACATTTTGGCGCATGGTTCTTTAATCGTGGACAGATGACCAGTGTTCACTAAATTTTGATTCGATCCTAAGATATATTGAACGACGGATTTCTTCTGAAATTATGAAAGACTGGACCTGTGAAAAAAATCACTAAAATATGGTCACCCGCAGGAATGTAAGTGTTCCGCATGAGACTCGAATGACACCTTCCATTCATGGGGCTATTCAACCGGTTTCCAGAGCAACTGTTGTCTCGGAGATCATTTGGATCAGTATTCAAGATACTGTAGCATCCAGTATCCAAAAGTACAAACCAATATGATTAAATGAACTGATCGCTGATCGCACAATTTCCATAGTTTCTGTGGGACATTTTCATCAGCCTGTACCAGTCCAACATGTGTAGTGGACTGACTTCAGACGCTAGGGTTCAACGTGACAACAGACCAGTTCTTCTATCCATGTTATGGTGAACACAGACCAAAGTGCTCATGCCTTTGTGTGGAAATTGTGTACGTGCTGTCAAGATGGGCCGCGTTCGATAGGCCAGAATTAAAAGGACCGGTAATTTAATAATGTGTAGTGGGGAGTGATCGGACGAAATGCAGGTAGGGGTAAAACACAGGGGTGACAGTTAGTAAGGCTGCCACTGCTTCAGCTCTTGATGACGGCCATACATAAGCAAACGGAAACGCAATATGGGAGAACGGATCCGCTGACTTAAAATTTCCATGAATGTTTAACGAATTTTGGGTCCTGACGTACCAAGACAAGGGTAAAATTGTCTAGGCGGAAGTGAACTCATGCAGGCTTGAATTGTATTCCACCAACGCACGCAGGGCTCATCCGAAATTTTACGTCCGAACAGATGAACATGTTCGCGCTTGAGTGATGTGAGCAGATGCGTCCGTTTGCGTTGCATCCGAAATTTTACGTCCGAACAGATGAACATGTTCGCGCTTGAGTGATGTGAGCAGATGCGTCCAGTGTGCGCAGTTAGGGGAGAGGTAACACGCCGGCCACGCATGTCAGATGTGCGGAGTTCATACCCGGACACGGTCATTAGATATGCACTGCTGATGGGCTCTAACAAAGAGGAAAGTCGAGTCCAGTGCTACCCTCTCTCTTTGGAGTGGAATCACCAGAATGATCGCTCCATAATAGGAGGATGATTGCTCAGGCAAAAGCTGTGTGAGTATGTATTCTACAAAATCCCGAAATCACTAACACCTGAAACAAATGTGTCCAACATATTTCAAGCGTCTGTGGCGCTACCTAACAGGAAAGTCCTGACTGGCGAGCCAATCGATTAACACAACCAAGGCATTTGCTGGGTCGGTGTTCGAGGTGCCGGGCGTTCCGCTCAAATCACTCAAATGCAAAGGTGCTCATCTGTTCAGATTATTTCCGTAAATCGAGAGGTTATTAGTTAAGATGGAACCTGTAGCACACTGTTACTGTGTTACGGCGCGGTGGGAACAGTGTTTAGGCGCCCTGTCATGTATGGTGCGGTGAACCGATAGAATAAATGTTTGAAGTGCTTAAAAGGATGCACATGGTGCAAGCGACAAAACAACATAGAAGGAGAATCGCGCTTATCTCCGAAGGTTTGACGGAATAAATTTTCGTTCGTCCGAGGATTAACCTGAACAAGGACAGCTCACACGCCAAACTGTAAAAAAATATCAGTGATCGCCCTCCAGCGAGAAAGACCGAATGCGGTCCCACCCAGCAACTGGCCTATTTCTAGTTAGCGTTTACAAAACATATACATCTGAGATTAACTGAGGGGGTCTTCCTCCAATAGCCAGAAGATGAAAACTACAAGGGACTCACTTTTTTCTTTTTGCCACATATCTAAAAAAGAATAAGCATGGAACTCGATTAGACACTGTGAATTTGTGTGTGTGTGTGTGTGTTCGGTCCAGAACATTGTACACGTGTTCGGAAATTTGGCACCAGTGGTGAAGATGATCGGAACGCGTGAATCATACATGCAGCCGGTGTACTGATAACCACATCAGTGGAAAGAGCGATTGGACTGAGACAATATAAGTGCAATGAGCAATATAAGAAAGGTGTAAAACCGGTCCGCAATGTAGAAAAAAGGCCGCCACCAAAGCTGGTTCCGTAGAAGGACTGACGGTCTACCTTCATAAACCGTGAAGGACAAGGGAGAGAAACATTAACTGACAAAATCACTGAGGGTCCTCTTGTTCCACAAGCCTGTTGGGGATATCAATATCCCCCAAAAACACGCGATCAACAGGCGATGCACCGAGCTTCCGAACCCAAGTCAGTAAAAAGAGGGTATCGTGTAAGCAAGTGGTCGGATATTGATATCCCCAACAAAGCCATCTGGTTTTATCAGTCGTTGAAACGCACAGCTTAAATATTTACTTATCCGGACAAATCAGAATGGTTTCCTTTGATGACCACTCATGGGCTGATACAATAAATATGTCCAATGAATATGATATGTCCAAAGTCTGTGGTTTTTACACTGCAGAGGATTGGGGACTATTTGACACATTAATGGACAAACCAATGGTTTTTGCCAGGTGTCATTACTCCCTGGAAAATAATGCGGGACATCAAGGGAACGTTTTTGGCACCACAATTTTCGTTATCGCACCGTACTAGCCGAACCGCTTTTTTCCTGGATAGCGACTCTCTGAAGTTATTTGGTATCTCAATAAGCCTGTTCACTTTTG